CAACCTGTGTATATGGAAAATAAAGATTATTATTATTATTATTTATTTATATTGATTTAATACGAAATTCTGGGTGATTATTGAAAAATCTTTAAAATTCGTATATCTCAAGACGTGTTCATTTTCGGCCGTACATATGAGGGGTCAAATTTGTAGTATTTTGACTCCGCTATCATGCCCTGCCAGGAAGTTGTAGAATTCCCTGTAACCCTGTATTAGAAAATACCTTCTTTTCCTTTTAAGGATTCGAGTTGCTTATGGCACCGACAGCTGCTAACGACACGCCAACTATATTTAGAATTACAACAAGAAAAATATGTTCAAAATTTCAACCAACAAAAAACAGGAGGGTAACCCTCTTTCTTGGGCAGTCGGATAAAAAATCTGTGGATACCTGAGCAAAGCGACTTATCACTCTGTTCAGCATAGACGCGCTGATAGAACTGAATGGCGAACCGGTGATGACGGGTCGGTGACTCCGCAAGTGAAACACTATTCCGGCTTCGCAATGCGCACCCATATGGGCCCGATGGAGCCCCTATCCATTCTACCTAGATGTAGTAGATCTTTACAGTTGCACATCCGAACCAGACTCCGGATTATCGTCGGACCTATAATCTCATCTCTACCACATAAACATTTTCTACCGACTTCAAAAAGGAGGAGGTACTCAATTCGACTGTATGTTCTTTTTTTGTGTATTTTCTTATAACTTTTTTCTTGGTGAACCGATTTCGATGATTATTTTTTATTTGAAAGCTGATGCTTCTCATGTGGTCCCTTGTTCAAGGTCTGACCAATAGTTTTTGAGTTATAATTAATAACTTATATTGAAGTCTCTTGTACAAAAATTTAAATTTATTGTGATTATTATAAACCGAAAGCGATTATTGTCGCACTCCATAGAAATGAAAGAGAAGCGCGATGACACGACGTTTGTTACGTACGATGTGTAAGAAGCTAGAGGTGTGTCAGGGTCATGGTAAATGGAAGTCTGCAGTCTTTGCTTACACCTCTGGGTAACGGGCGTGAGATTTTATGTATGTCTGTATGTAAAATACTCAGACCGGCGATGGGAAACATCGTCTGAGATGAAGAGACATCTGGAGCTATAATCGTCGATTATAACGTCTGCAAAGTGTGACGATTAAGTTAATCCTCCCTGCAACGCTAGAGATCCCCATGGTCTAGCAGTGAATTTCTGTGGGCTGATGAAGAAGAAGAAAAATAAATAATATATATACGAGATAGACGAGTATAACAAATGCGTAATTTACAATAAATAACTTGAATTTGGTAAAAAAGAATACAACATTATACGAGGGTGACACTGAAAATGTTACAATTGGCGACTTGTAAACGATATAATAAAAAAATAAGTTCAAATTCTGAAAATGGAACTCTTTTCCAATATTATTCCGTACGTATTTTAATTTGTCATTTGCTTAGTATTTGGCGGCAAATTGAAAATTGTCTGTGTCACGTCTGCATGAATTTAATGCAAGAAAATTTACGTACAATGATTTTTTATGACTTTCAGTGTCATTTAAGTAAACAAGAAAGTTATGATAGACTTCGATTGGCCTTTCAGATGAAGCCCCATCTCGTGCCACTGTTTACAAGAGATTACACTGATTCAATGAGTTTAAACGTGGTCGCACTAATCTCACCGATGATCTGCGTGAGGACAGCCTTCTACGGCGACGACTGAAGATAACATCGGTGTTGCACGGTGAATGATAGAGACTGACAAAAGAGTGACTTATCAGCAGATTCGGACAAGCTTAGGCATTGGTATGAGTCAAGTGTACAAAATCCTCCATGAACATTTAGCGGTCAGGAAGCTTAGTCTCATAATTTGACAGAGGCCCAAAAATTCCGTCGTCTTGATTGGTGTCGTGAGATTGTTCAAAGATTTAACGGAGGTGACTCAAATGCTTTGTTCGACATACTTACGGGTGACGAAATCTGGATTTGTTGTTATGATCCTGAAACTAGGAGACAGTCTGTTGTCTGGGTGTTTCCTTCCGAAGAGTTGCTAACTAAAGTGAAGAGAGGTCGAAGCGTGGGAAAAAAGATGGTGGCCTAGTTCTTCGGAAGGACAGGTCACTACGCAACAATTGTTTTAGAGGTTCACAAAACAGTTACTGCAGAGTGGTACACTAATAATTGTTTGCCACTTGTCTTGGAAAAAGTTCGGGAGAAACGACCTCGCAGTAGGAGCCTCCTTCACCAGGACAACGCCTCGTCGCACACCGCCAAACAATCGACTACTTGGCGACATCAGACGTGGAATTACTGGGTCACCCGCCCAATAGCCCCGACCTCGCACCTTTGTGATTTTTATTTATTTCCAAAAATAAAAAAAAAATTGAGGAAAACGTTTTATGGACGCCGAGGAAGCAGTAGCTGCGTTTCAAAATGCCGTCGAAGAGACCCATAAGGACGAGTGGAAAAAGTGCTTTTCTCATTGGTTCCATAGGATGCAGCGATGTATTGATGTAAATGACACTATTTTGAGAAGATATAATAAAACTAATAACTTGCTAGTTTGTTCAGTTTTTGATTTTCTAAGAACTTTCAGTGTTACCCTCTTATTTCTCATCGTTTCTCTTCTCATCTCGTCTTAGTACATCAACTATTGAATGCCGTGAAATTTGTTAGTTTTTGTAAGATAATATACAAATAAAACGTATTTTGTCATTTGTGTCCATCTTTGTAGGGAGAATTCTTTGGGCATTCAGCTGTGAACATGTGAAAGGATGTAATTATGTTGATGATAATTATAAGAATATATAATAAACATATATTTATTTACATTAAATAACAATATTTAAGTTTTGTAAATACATATATACAATATATACATCTAGGAATCTACATTACTATTAGTTGCATAACGAATATTACAAAATTATCCTTTTTATCTTATAAAAAGAATTTGAATTAAGTATAAATATGAAACCTTCTGCGACTGACGAGGTAATCTACCAGACACCGGTTAGACACAAAAAATCTGTTTCAAGTGTATTGATCTGTTTCGCTGAGTACCTTTCTACAGTACGCCGCGAAACCTCGCAATGCAGCGGTGGCGAGTGCACACACAGTCCAACTACAGCCTACCTATAGATCAGTACCGAAAGCGTCGCATTATAGGACGTCATCAGCAGGCCTCCTTCAATATTCGGATACCTACCGCATTTTATAAAGCGTACAGTGCGGATGAAATGTGCGAGGTTTCATATGATTTCAAGCACAGGTAATAAGTGTAAAAAATAATTTAAGAAAAGTTAAACTTATTTTTTTTTAGTGTGTGGCAGCACGGCCCTAGTTATTCGACCATTCGGCAATCTTCGGAAGTCCTCGGCTGTGCGGAAGCAATTGGCTCGGTTTTCCTCGCCTCGCCAGTCGATCCGACCGTCCGACGCGGTGAGGCCGCTCGTTCGCGCTCCGATCCGCTACTTTGAATTTTTAGTTTAGTTTAGTTGTTTAATATGTGGTGTGTTTGTTGTACACATCCCCACAAGAGAAACGGATTCCATTTTGAGGTACCAATATTAGATATTGGGACTATTAGCGTAATTTAGTTGTAAATAGTTTATTCCAATATTTTAAATACACCATAATAATGACAGTCGTCGGTTACGTCGTTGATAAGCAAAAATATATTTTTTAATTTTATTTATTATGACGATCCTAAGCCCGTAAATCGTGTGAAGGGAAAATTGGAATCGTAATTCGCGTCATGTAGTATTTAACTTGAGCATTAATAGTATGCGTATCACTAAGAAAGTAAACGGTAAGCAAAAATTTGAGAAACGAAAACGTGAATCGAATCACATACACAGGAGCGCGCGTAAGCATAGTTGTTGCCCATATATCACATTCAATTTGGGATAATTTCAAATAAAAGTTGAAACCTTATTTAGTCGTGTTTTCAAAAAAATGTAATATCGGTATATAATAATTTATCTATAAGAACTTAAGTATAAAATATGACTACTCTTTGAAAAATAACCCTGCATAATAAGAGATAGAGAAGTCACTAAAAGAGTTGTATACTTAAGAGGAATTTGATGATGTAGATGATAAGGATGGAGATTCGGGTTATTAACCTCTTAAAGAAGATATACTGCAACAAAGAACGACGAAATGTTAGTATCGTCCAGGACGCTGTAAGTTTATTATTTACATGCCCCTTAAACCGTTGTTAATACATGTTGAAATGATACTGCTAACAATTGGGTCAGTTCTAATGAACTAATGAAATGTTTATTGAAAAACAATCGGTCATATTTGCAAACAGTTAAGAATAAGCGATTTTATTATATACTACCGGAATCAAACCTAATAAAAACAGAGATATAGGGAGCTCTATATGGATTTATCAAAAACTTTATAATGTTGTACTGGGTGCCAAACAGCTACAATAAGACTGCAGTTATAGTACCGACGAAACTACCAGCTAGCCAACCACGATTGTGGGCTAAAAACAAGTTCTTGACCCTAGCCAACCACGATTGTGGGCTAAAAACAAGTTCTTGACCTTGGTAGTATCAATTCGAATGTTTTATTATGAATTATATTATATAAGTAATTACGTAATGTAAAATATTCGTATGCATGTACTACCGAGCTTAAAGCGAGAGGATGCTACGATGGCATTCCGAAAAAATGTCGAGAGTTCCATGAGCATCTAAAGAATTTTAGATACAGATTTGCCCGCAAATTGTGTAAAACGACAATTTTATCAAAACTGCTTCTGATTTATCTGTAAGCCTTGTGGTTTTATTTTGATGCGTTTACAACATAAATTAGTTACGTAATCATAAAAAAACCCTCCTTCTCTGTGACTAATGTCAAAGTATGATAAGTTGTTATATTATCACTACACGTCATTTGAAAGCTATCTATGACCTTCAGTCGCAGAAGGGTATTGTTCTATTTCATATTGTTCTATTTTTCTTTCTAACAATTTTACTAGCAAGTTAAATCCAAGACTAAGAACTTTTTGTTTTTTGTGACGAATTTTGCTTTAAAACATGGTCTCTATCATAATCTTCTTTGCCATAAAAAACTACAAAAGCAAACAAGAAACAAATCGCAAATACTACATAAAGCATCGCTTCCTGGCGGTAGGCATGACTCGCTTCCTTGGAGTGTGTGTTTTGCTTCCTGATAAATTCTTTTTCATAAATGGACTTTTGTAACAAATCTCCATAGTGTTGTTTTGACCTGAAAATAATAATTTCATCATTAACATTCATTATTTGAAAACATTTTTGAATCAAATTCAATTACGAGGACACTTTCTTGCATAAAATACCTTACTGCAAAATATTTATTTGGAGTGTAGTATAGTTTTACAAATTGTCTCAGTAGACGATCCCAACATCATCAACGTTCAACATTTTTATCTATTTCATGTTTATCATTCTAATCTGTACTAATATAATAATACGTTATAGAACGATGCTAAATTTTATCCACTATTCCTCACTCGCCCCCCCTCCCCTGCAGAAAGTGCCCGAAGCGCGGTTTTTTTCAGTATTAAATAAAACCGTACACGATACATGAAAAGCGGTTTATGAAGGATCATTTCGTATTTAATATAATATTAATAAAATTTAACTTCGCTCGATGGTGTACATATGTCGATAGAGTACTCCATGAAATTGACCAATTTTTTCATACATTGCTATCTAAAATGATTGAACGTGAATACGTGAAATACGCGCGTGAAACCGCGGGGCACAGCTAGTTACAAATAAAATAAAGCATTAATTTACAGTTTATATTTTAGAAACACTTCAATTTTGCCCATAGGCTGTGAAATAGTGCAACGATTTACAGCTTATAATTTGCTTCTTAATGCCAACAAAATAAATTGTAACGACCAAACATAACAAGTAGGACCACCGGTTAATGCAACAAGGAGTGCCTTCGAAATGAGTAGATGCCAGGAAGGACTTCCTTTTAGAAGCTTAGAGGCAAAACTTTCTAAGGGCTGAATCGGACTAAATTTAATAACAAAGACTTACTGCAAACACATCTCAATCTTGTGTTTCAGAGAAATACACGATGCTGTCATCTGCACAGCAATGAATGTAACAGCTTTGCATCATAGCATTCATATTATAACCTCTATGCCGTAAGAACATGTTCTTATAACTGTTATTTAACCTTACTTTACCATAGGTCACGTGTAACGTTATAGGTCAAGCCGATGTCAATAGTTGTGAGAGCAATAACGGACGTACGTAAAAAAATAATTTGGATAAATTGCCCGGCTAGGTAATTCCAACTTTGACAGAGAATTTAATCGACGGATCCAACTCGGTTGCGCAGGGTTTGAGAGATTACGACTTATCGTCACGTATACCTCAAATGTTGAAAGCAAGAGCGTACAACTATTTTTTTATAGAACAAGGGTGCCCTATGAGCACACAGACATTTACATCTATCCTTGATTAAGAATCAAAATGCAGAAGCGTTGTCACCCTGAAGACTAAGATGGAATGCCTCGTCTCCAGTAAAAAGGATCTCCGGTTCTCTACACTCACCATAACAAACACAGCAGCATGAAACTGCTATTTTACTCTGGTGTTATTTGAATCCAACCCATTCGTGCTACAACCATAATATAGCTGCAGCGTGGCTCTACCACGCAAAAAACCACATAACTATTTTACTATTACTATACTTACTCTCAGGTTTGTTGCGTACTATAATACTTAATGTTTGCACTTAATGCTATTGAACTATTATTAGGTATCTATGCTATTAAATTGTTTAATCTATTTAATAGCTATTATAGATATAGATATATATAGCTAATTATAGATACCTAATTTTTTTTTTTTTGAGACAACTTAATGTAAAATTTAATTACATATGTTGAAGTATAATTTAAAATATGTGAGAAGAGTACCGGAAGAAACTTGTGTATGAAGTCGAGTCTTTGCTAAACAAAGTCTCGGATTGGGGTCGACTAAATCTAGACCAGTATAATCCTCAGAAGACAAAAGTTTACGCGTTTACCGCTAAAAAGAACCCCCTTGTCGTATCTCCTCAGTTTCAAGGCACTCCCCTTGTTGCCTCAGCCAGTATCGGAATCCTCGGCGTCGACATATCGAGTGACGCGCAGTTTCGTAGTCACTTGGAAGAGAAGGCCAAATTGGCATCCAAAAAGCTTGGCGTGATTAGCAGAATGGGACAGTATTTCATGCCAGCACACCGTCTGCAACTTTACAAAGCGCAGGTTCAGCCTCACATGGAATACTGTTCCCACCTCCGGGCTGGGGCCATTTACCACGAAGAGTGCTCTGAGGAATTGTTCGGATTACTCCCAGCCGCCATATATCACGAACGCACATCGCGGCAAAACTCACGATACCATCTACACCACCTGGATGCTTGGCGGTCCACCACTGTACGTTTCACTAGGAGTTTTCTTCCGCGTACGACCTCTCTGTGAAATAATTTACCACCAACGATTTTTCCAGACCGATACGACTTAGGGACCTTCAAGAAAAGAGCTTACTCCTTTTTAAAAGGTAATGCAGTTGTTCATGGGCGGACAATTGGATCTGTTACGATAAATACGCCTCACTCCTAATGCAAATAGAGAATCTTCTTTCCAGTGTTGGTCAGTCATTCCCCCCATGCAAGGACGGCAGATAGAGAAATTCCAATTACAGTATATTTGGATCACAATTATTTAATGAAGCAATTAGTTATATCATACCATGCATCAAAGTCATATATAGGTGTCTTGCCATCAATAGTTGGTGTAACTTGACGCTTAGAGTGGGACTTGTAGAACCGGAGTGTTGGATCGGTTGGTTCTGGTTCAGGCTGGTAATCCATGCGAGTAGTATTCTCTCTACCGACCAAAAGACCTGCAATGTTAAAAAAGATATTTTAAGGTGGGTGTAAAAATCGAGCATTAAATAATATCAAAGGTTTGGTAGCTCAGTAGTCAGGTGTCTGGCAGCTGTATTTCACTTAGTACTTTATAGGTTTTGATAAGTGAGTTTGCATGAATCATAAACTAATCTTTATATATAAAAATTACGTGTCACGTTGTTTGTCCGCGATGAACTCCTAAACTACTGAACTGATTTCAATGAAATTTGGACACTTTGTGCAGTTTCGTCCAACTTGAGAGATAGTCAATAGATCAATATTTTTTATTACGAATTTAAGGATTTTTTATATGAAGGGTCGTCAAAAAGAGCAGTATAACGTTTGTCTGGCTAGCTATTATAATATAAAACTACTATCTACAAAGAATATGTTGTATCAGTTTTTTTTAATTATTATAAAAGAAAATTGCAATCATTAAAATTAAACTATTATAATAATAATAATAATCTTTATTGACATAAAAGTTGTATTATATATTTCGTATTCGCGCTCCTCATGGCCAAATGATCAATTTTAAGACGTCATTAAGTCTCGTGGCGTCACAGGCACTTTGACTAAAAATCATACGAGATGTACCAGACTTAACGACATCTTAAAATTGAGCATCATCATCAGCATATCTTTGAGTTGCTTAGTCCTAAGTAAGCCAAAGATTTCAAGATATACCCCTATACATCACCTCCACCTCATTGAGGTGTACCAAGGTTGGTGTGTAAGCATGTATGACCATTTGGTAATTCTGAGTATGAGGTATGCAACCCTCGTCACACACTCCCAATCTTTAATACAATGATTTACACAAATCTTACCTCCTTGGGACTGATGGTAGCCTTTCCAGTGTAAGGAAAAATTCTCTTCCTCTATAGCTCTAAAATTTTATCAGTTAACCTTAATGTTGCTTTATACATTGCGAGGTTTAATTGTTGGTAGCAACTAAATCTTCACAAGTTATGCCCTGTTGTTTTCATGACTGGCACCAGCATCAAGAACAGCAGGGCAATCAGTGACTGGGGACTGATTAGTTTGGTGCCCCTCATAGGAGAATATATGCCATAGTTACTACACTTGAATAGTAACAACAGGTTTTTGTTTTTATTAAAAATGGGCTTACTTTTGTTCTCCATCTGGCCTGAGGGCAAAGATGAGGTGTACGATGGAGCGAGTTTACCTAGGAGAAGCCTGTTTACATGCACCTTGAAGAGGTTCAGGTCATATGCACTCGGAAAAACAAATGCCGGCAGGGCATTCCACTCCTTGGCTGTGCACATTATGAAAGATGACTTAAAAGCTTAGTGCGAATATTAGGAATTTAAGCAACTGAGGATGGTAACATGCAGTGCGTCTGGTACTCCGATAGGAGAACGGAGATGGCAATATGAGCTTAAGAAGCTCATGGGCACATTTGCCGAATTATAATCTGTAGAAGACCGATAAACAAGCAACTTGATGGGGGTGAGCTAAGCTGTGAAACTTAGTTTCCACTAGCTCTTTGTCACCGATAAGCCTCTTGGCTCTGCGTTGCGCTGAGTCGAGTGCGGCAAGTTGATAATTTGCTGATAACTCAAAAACTATTGGTGAGACCTTGATGACAATGTCGCCCATCTCCAGGTTCAGTTCAGTATATAAATTTATTACGACTTAGCTTATATGTACCACTTTGTCTATACAGAACTTGAACAAAACCTTCAGATCCAGAACTACTTGTAAAATAGTAGTTTTAGGCAAGTAGTGCAATTATTGGAAAATCACTTGAAATAAAATGTTTTGCTATTACTTACGAGTATAATCAAAACTATGTGGGATATGGGAAAATATTTACAATAAAAATTGAAGATCTATTAAGTTCACATAAAAAAGTTTTGTTATCACCTGTTTTTATTCCAATTTTAAAAATTAAGAGCCCTCTTACATTTCGGCGTAACGCAAATTTAGGTATTTTAAGCACCAAGCGGGCGGCGAGCTACGCGAGCGATACTTTCTTTCATATTTATTCACTCGCTCGCACTATGATACTGTGAGTATGGCGATTAAACGACCTTGATCTTCCATAATACAAGTTTTTTTAGGGTGAAGTTCAGTGAATGGAAAATTTTTTGGTGTGTCATTTTGATGTTATCTTATTAATTTACTATTCTATAATTTATTATTATATACTATTTTGATATATTTTTCATTATTTATGAAACATAGTGTTGAAATAAGTACACATAAATATTTTAATTGTTACGCAGTAATCAATTGTTAATAATCGATCATGTCTACTACTGGTAGAATAGTGGTATAAATAAATAAATAGTACGGTTGCAACCTGTTTTAATAAATAAAACAACTAATATTTTTTTAATCGGTACTTACAGTCAATACCATAATTTTGATAAGAAAAATATTTGCCGCAACGGCACTGACCGAGCTTTTCTCGAGACGATAATTTCAGGCAGTACATAGTTTTCATAAAAAGCTTGTAACTTGGGTAACATATTCAAAATCTAAAATTGGTTGTCTTTGTAAATATTTAGTACTTTTACTGCATAATCTGGGCCAGTACATATGGCAAGTATGCAGACATTAGATTTTGCTAAATGAAGCTGGCTCTGGATTTGGTAAAACCAGTCATGATTTTGATTTAATTTTACACCTGAATCAATGAATTTAAAACCTTTAACTTTTTTTGTTCAAATGGCCATATCAAAGTCTATTCTAAAAGTGAAATAGAACATTTAACTTCAATAAGACCGTCACTATATAAACCATTAGGTTAAGCCCTCAAATAACAATGATCTGGGTCAATGTATAAACCACATTTATAATAATATTTTCTTGTTTGCTCAATTGTGCCAATGCTACAGACTCGTTTTCCCTACCATGTTTGATGGAAGAGAAGGGATCTAGATTATAACTATATAAAATAGTTTTAAACTGATTGATCAAATACTGCGGTCGTAGTTGACGATGCTCTAGCACACACACAATTGCAGCATCTATACGGCAATCGACGCACACTATGATAGTATTGAAACGACGTAGCGCCCGAAATCAACTGACGCAGGTCCAACCTCGACAAGCGCTCGCGCAATAGTGATCGCAGATGGCCGGCACAGCTTGTATAAATTTTTTAACCAAAGCAAAACCAAGAAAGTTTTAACCAAAACTTTTTCAAACTTATCTAATGGTTTATAAGATAATCATTATAATGATTTCCCAAAAAATTTAAAATAGAAATCTATGTCTTATTAGCATGTAAATGGGGTTATTTACATGCTATTAACAATAACCATTTAGATATTAATAGAAGCCAACTATTTTAATATTACAGACAGACACATCAATTGTATTTATATAATATAGATTGATCTATTACCTTTGTCATACATCTTTTTTAATTTAACATTTCCTAACACCTTATATGCCTCTGTAATGGCCCTAAACTTTTTTTCTGCCGTTTCATCCTGCAATAAGAACATACCAATTATTTTGATGTTATTAATTATTATTGAAACAATATTTTAAATAATCTAACATGAGAAAAAATATATTATTATGGCAAAATTAAGATAAAATATTTTATTATGGACTAAAGTTCTCAAAATATATATTAATAATAAATTTATTATTTTGATAATCAGGTCTTGTCTGAAATCAATCAATGTATATATTATAGTTATTTAATATCATCATCATCGTCATTACAGCCCTTCAGAAGTCCACTGTTGAACATAAGCCTCTCCAAGGAATGTCACAAAGCACAGCAGTGATCTTGAGCCACCTGCATTCATTGACTTCCTGTATGTCTTACTCGTCGTCATTCCATCTAACGGGGGCGCGCCTTACGTATGAGGCTGCCACTCTAGAATCTTACTTCCCCGTTGGTTGTCGGTCAGCTATATAGCCGTTCCATTGCCATTTTAGCTTACTAATCTATTAGGCTATGTCAATTATTTTGGTTCTACTGCGGATTTTTGCGTCTATCACGCAGAGAAACCCATAGCATAGCCACGAGCATAGCCCTCTCCATAGCTCGCTGAGCGACCTTGAGATTTATATAGATAGTAAACAATTAAATAAAGCAGTAATATAATATAGTAAATAATTAAGCCAATTTTATTCATGTCACTTACGTTTGATTTATCAGGATGATAAACTTTTGATAATTCATAGTACGCAGATTTAATATCACTTTGAGTAGCTTTTGGTGTAATGCCGAGGACATCATAATGGCTAGCACAAAAACTTGGACTAGAAGATATATTGCGGATTACGCCCGAAAGAAATGTTGATTTTCTTAATCTAATCATCTACAAGAAAAAACGTTGTTGGTGTTAAATTAAGATTTGAACTATTCCTAAATACAAGTTTTACTTACTTTTCTTTAAAAAGGTTTATTGTATCTATATTTATTAGCAAAGCACTTTTTTTTGGATTGTTGAAGTCTATTACATAAATAAGCAAATAAAAATTTATTTTGTCATTTTTGTTTTGGAAATGAAAATAGGGACCTTGTGATTGCCATATAATCAAAGACTATAGTAACCAAAGAGTATAATAAGTATAATAGTAACTACCTGTATAGGACAATTACTATACTCTTTGATAGTAACCTGCTACATATATATTTATCTATGATAGTAACTGTCCTACATATGTAGGATGGAGTTTTGGCGGGAAATTGACCGGCGGCGGTTTGCTGCTCCTGTATTATTGTTTAAATAATGGTTTGAAGTGGACTTTGATATGTAAAAGTGTTGCGATTTTGTGTATTAAGTGTCTACGCATGTGAACTATTAGTGGAAACAGTGAAACAAGTGCTCTGATGGTGATGGATTCTCAAGATAAGCTGTTTGTTTGCATAGGCACCTTTAGATACCATGGCCAACTATCAGCTGTCTGCTGGATCAAGTTGCCGCCAAAATCTCCCAAGAACTGCACAATGTGACGCATCAACATATTGTGAAGCAGTATACTATGAAGGAGTGGAGAAATTACAATAATCCGAACAAAAATACTTAAGACTTGGCCTAAAGGTCTAGATACCAGGCCATAAACTCCAAAAAAAAATACATATGTAGGACAGTTACTGTAGAGTAGACTATGGAGTGTAGAGTATAAGGAGAACCATCTTATAAGGGGCGAAAGATGAAAAAGTGCACTACTATTTACTGAAAATAGAGGTTCCAAAACCTACCACAATAGCGCTGGCGTCTGAAAAACTACGATATGAAGATAGCTGTTGTGAACGGAGTGAAGTCAAGTGAATTCAAATATTTAAAAAATTTCATGACTAGAGTAGTTAGTAAAATGCCAGTATACAAAATCTCAACTATTTACGTAGTACAAAACCAAGCGGATTGGTCGGTCCTTGTTTATTTCTCCATCTTATTCTAATTACTTTTGGAGCTTTTTTTTAATTTAGCCTATGCTACTGCAGCGCCACCCTTATTGGACACGTTTTAAGGGACAGTTTTCATATATAGAGATGGTCCTCCTTCTATTCTACACTCCGTACTACATATAATTATAATCCACAATTTTTTTTTTGGTGTTTATGGCCTGGTATCTAGACCTTTAGGCCAAGTCTTGAGTATTTTTATTCGGTTTATTATAATTTCCCCACTATATTTTTGGAGAATTTATATAGAGGCACGAAATAGGATCTATTTTTTAACATATCACTCAGGCGGCGGGAGCGATCTTGCACTGTCACTTGATTTTGCACTATGTCACTAATTTCACTGACAAGAATCAATCTGTCAAATGAAAAGCACTCACATGTAAATATGAAATGTTCGATATCACCAACAGAATTATTGCAGAAGGTGCATTAGCTGCTCTTCACTATGCTCAACCGAGCCAGGTGGGCCGGGACGGTGGAGTGACTAAAACACAGTCTGTTTATAGTCGTAATAAAGTCCCGACTGGCCATTTTCAGTTTGTTATACCATGGTGCTACAGTAGGTTTTCTTGAACAGTTCCATACCATTTACCCTTCTGTTCTTGATCTTGTTTCCAAAATTCGACCCATAAACTATTGACCTGGTTGTCAATAGATTGATAACAGTCGGTCAAAGGTACTTTTACTATGGAGCTAACATGTTGGTTCCATCACATGCAATTTTATTTACTATGTAATTTCCTGTTATGCCTCTATGTGATTAAATCCACATGAAAGAGACTGTATACTCTTTTGTGCATAACTAAATAACAATTTTTTAATATTATACAAAATATAGTTTTTTTTAAAGTTAAATCTGAGATTGGTTAAACTTTGGACCATACTTAAACCGTCTGTTAAAATTAAAAAATTAATAAAACTATTTATTTGTGCGATCCTTTTCAGGGCCTCGAGGGCCGCATATACCTCTGCAGTGAAAACACTGCATTTAGGGTCCAGAAGAAAACTTTGACCAAACTTGGATTGGGGATCATAAACAGCACTGCGCACAAAGAGCTCACTTTTGCTACCATCTGTATACAAAGTATAGTAGTATTGTAGGAAAGAAAACTTAATAATTCACAATTATTAAAAAAAATTATTAACAATATTGGTCTCAAATATAATACAGGAATATGAGTATATGTAGCATATCCACTTTGATTGTTTAGTTACATTTTTAAAATCTTCATTCATTTGCAGTACAATGAGAGGCAGAACTGGGAAATAGCCTCGTAAAAGCTCACCTCCCGAAGTCTGTTGGGCCGAGCATTGTACAGGAAAGGGTACTATTTTTTTGAGAACATTATCATTAACCGATAAAAGCTTTAGTAAATATCTCTCTTGGCAGAAGTCTTCTAAGGCACAGTGGCATTATTTTGGTTTTAACTTCCATAGCTCGTATGGGAGTTGAACACATAGCCCCAGATATAATTCGCATAGCTTTGTTTTCAATTATGTCTAGTTTTTTACACAACTACTATTTGAGTAGGCTAAACAACTGTAGTCGAAGTGGCTTCTGACTATAGATTTATATAGCATACTTAAAAATTTGGGGTCTGCACCCCAAATCACACCAGCTAAACATCTTATAATATTTAAGCCCTCAAGAGAGTTAGTTATAATGTGATTGATGTGTAAATCAAAACAAAGTTTGTTATTAATGACAACACCCAGGAATTTATGGTTAGATACAACTGAAATTGGATGATTACTGTAGAGTATGCCATTAGAGGGAAAATCTTTACTAAAAATCATGGCCTTGCTTTTGTTGGGGTTAATCTGTAGAGCCAACTTGTCATTATAATATATGTACAATTGATCTAAAGCATTATTTATACTATTTACAGATCTATCTACATTATGGTCTGTACAATATATTACAAGATCATCCGCAGAGTTTTGGCGGGAACTTGACCAGCGGCGGTTTGCTGCTCCTGTTTTATTGTTTAAATAATGGTTTGAAGTGGACTTTGATATGTAAAAGTTGTGCGATTTTGTGTATTAAGTGTCTGCGCATGTGAATTATTAGTGGAAACTGTGAAACAAGTGCTCTGATAGTGATGTAATTCTCAAAATAAGGTGCCTGTCTGCTTAGGCGCCTTGAGATACCATCGCCAACCGTCAGCTGTCTGCTGGCTCAAGTTACCGTCAAAATCTCCCAAGGGCTGCACAATGTGACGCATCAACTTATTGTGAAGCAGTATACTATGAAGAATAATTATTATAATATAATATTGTAACTTCAGGCTAAGAAGGGCTAGATCCCAGAGCCGTAAAGCCAGTTATTAAGAAGAAGTAAGATCATCCGCAAATAGTAAAATATTTACACCTTCTATATTTACAAAATTAAGAATTTGACTAGTGTATATATTGTACAACAATGAAGATAATGTAGACTCCTGCAATGTACCTTTGGAGACCCTTGTGGGACCATGGAGAATATTATTATGCCTTATATACAAAGTTCTATCTGGTAAAAAATTAAATAACCAATGGCAAAGTATGCCTAGTATACCAATGTCAGAAAGAACTTGAACCAAAATGCTAGGATCTACATTATCAAACGCACCTTCAACATCCAGAAAAACACAAACACTGGACTTATTATTATTATTGGCATATTTCAGATCTGACAAGAGAGAGAGATGAAGTTATCAGCACTAGATGTGGGTCGTAACGTCCCTAAGGGTATTAGTCTTCTGTGGTAACGTCTTTTGGACGTAATCGGTTGTACGTAGTTTCGTGAATATGAGTAACTAGTTTAAAAACTGCTTATTTTTGTAACTAGTTACTTCTGTATACAGCATTTCGTTTGTATTATGTTATGGTTACGAAATTATTAACAGGTTATAGGTATTATAATATTAGTTTTACTTTTATGTTATGTTATGTTTACAAATATGTAACAGTTTATAGGTATTGTAATATGTATGATATGCGTATTATTTGACTATAAAGGTAATTCTGTCAATTGAACTTACCTTCATACTTTTCTAGGCTTAAGACTGGCTGCAAAATTTCAATTTTAAAGTTATTTTTGTGAGTTTTTTTTAAGACAGAATGCAGGCGTAATTAGAAGTTCGTTTGATTTTATGTACAGTTCTTTTTTCTATTTACAGTTTACGCATATTTTGCAGTTTGATTAAAATATTTAAACTTTGAATTGGTTTGGATCTAAATTTACATGTAAATAAGTTAATTGGGCAAATTTATTTGTTTCCAGACGGGTGCGGCGTTCATTGATTGTAAGTCCGGTTTTACTAAATATTCGCTCACAAGGAACGGAGGTAGTGACTATGTTCCCGTATCTTCGTAGCAAAGCGGCTAGGTTGGGTTGGGATAAAGTAAAAAGTTTTTAAAAACTCAGTTAACAGACTCGAGACAATAACATTCGTCAATCATCCCTTGCATTTCTTAACTACCTAAAATTCTAATAGAAACACTGGTCAAGGTTGCAATTTCTTTAAAAAAAACATTATCATAATGAACCTTAACTGTTTCCAATTGCGTATGAATTCGCATGGGCTTTTGCATTTTAAAAAAGACGCACCGATTACAATATTGCCGTCTCTTTTTATCTTGCTTGTAAGCCATACCTATCCCGAAGGGACTCTTTACTCTCGCTGTGCGAGTCGTATATCGTATTACGTACCTATAATCATTTCTTAATAATAATCTGTTTAAATTCAAAACGAAACGCTTACGCGTGCGCCGGTGGTTATGTGAGTGTCAACTGCGTACGTAAAATAATCGTTACATTTTTGTCCACGAAACTGGGTATACCATTATCAGCCACGTAAGCAGTTTCTGAAACCGATTACGTTAAATAACGCTCACCTCTAGTCAGCACAACTTCTCCCGCTC